TTTTGGATCGTCGCCGACTCCTAGACTTAGAATGTGATCGCCGTCTCGATCTGCTTCTTGACCGCCTAATAACATAAAAGGAAGCCAATACGTGGATATAAATGTAAACAGACTATAAATATTTTGCTTAGTAACAGATAAAAAATTCAGACATATGGACTAAACAGTAAGTGGGGATAATTCCCTTCCAGTTGCTGCTATTATTTATTTAGTCCAAAGAACGAATAATTTCAACAGACATTAGTAATATCTTTTAACACTTAGAATTCTTCACCTTTTAATGATTTGCTCAACCTGTCAGATGGGTTGTTCTATGCCCACTGTACTTACAACTCCGAGGTTAAAAATACTACTAGATAATAAAGGAGAATACAAATATGACTTATTTGCATCATCTTATACAATTATACAGCATTTTGGCACATATTTCTTACTTGATTCTTCACTACTGCAGCTTAAACCCACTTCATTATAAATAAAATACTTATATCATGCTATACATAAACTATGAATTGGTCTCATAAGTCCATAAAGTAAATGCCACTATTATTCCTATTTTATGAATAGAAATCACTTATTGTGTTGTCATCTCCTATTTCTAATTTTTCTCTAAAAAAATTCCACTCCTTTAATCCACAATTTAGGAAACTCCAGGCAATGCAGACCTTTTATAGATATATACAATTTTTATAAACTGCCTCCTTTACTCTCATTTTCCCCTGACTTATCTATTTCTCTACTCCCCTCGCCAAGTTTCCATCCATCGTGTCCTGATCTGGCTCTTTTAGGACATAAGAAGCACATTTAACCTTCAGATATTGTCATCCTCCTTACTGCATTAAAACACTCATTCTCTCTTTTTTTTTTTTTTTTTAAAGTTACTGGGTTTCACCATGTTGCCCAGGCTGGTCTTGCACTCCTGGGCTCAAGCCATCAGTCCACCTTGGGATCCCAGAGTTGAGATTATAGGCATGACCAACACACCCAGCCCATTCTATTTTAAAAATTAAAAATAAGTTGCAATCTTTTGCTTAGTCTTGATCACTAATCTTTTGTGACAATTCAACTTCTCTCTGTGTAACATTTCAAGTATAATCTTTATAAGCCAGGTAACTTTTAGAGTATTATCTAACCTCTTTGACCTTGCTACTTCAGCAGTCAAGGATATTAACACCTCCGTCACCAAACCGTTGTAAAGATTAAGTGCAGCTTATAAGTCTAGCTTGGTGCCTTATTGTAGACACACACAAGTTACCCTTGAATAACATGAGCTTTAATGGCATGGGTCCACTTACACAGTTTTTTTTTTTTTTTGCGCCACCAACCAAACGTGGAGTAAAAACAGTATTCAAAGGATGAGGCACCCATATATAGTAAGGGCTGCCTTTTCCTATATATGGATTCCACAGGACTTGAGTATGAATGGATTCTGGTATAGGTGGATCTGTAACTAAACCCTGCATATTCTGAGGGACTGTACATTAAATATTGATGCCCTTATTTCCTCTTACTGATGTGCTAATATAGCTTGTTTCCATAACTCTCTAAAACAACTGCCTCAAAAGCCATCAGTAGTGCCTCAATAAACTATGTGAGTTATTGAACTCATTTAACTTCAATCATCTTTTATTTCTAGCCACATTTGAAGCTATTTACTAAAGAATCCCTTGCAATAACATCTCCACATCCTAAGATATTTTTATGTACTTAACTACCCTTCTATAGGCTCCACAGACATGAGAAGTCTTTTCATCACTGTATTCTTGAGCAATTACCACACTGCCTGACTTAAAAAAAACGCACCAGTAATATACTTGGAATGAAATATAGGCATTTAAAATATGAGTATCATAACCTTAAGAGAGTAAACAGTTATTTTTCAAGGGGAACGTACTACAGAGTCACTTTTCTACACTTACTAGTTCATATGAGCTTTCAACCGCTAACAAGAGAGATTAGTGTAACATATATTGGCAGATCAAAAGGTCAGGAGATCGAGACCATCCTGGCTAACATGGTGAAACCCCATCTTCATTAAAAATACAGAAAATAGCTAGGTGTGGTGGCATGTGCTTATAGTCCCAGCTAGTCAGGAGGCTAAGGCCAGAGAATTGCTTGAACCTGGGAAACGGAGGTTGTACTGAGCCGAGATTGCACCATTGCACTCTAGCCTGGGCAACAAAGCAAGACTCCGTCTCAAAAACAAACGAAGAAACCCAAAAAGCTTGTAAAAGTCAAGGTCATTTAACATGCTAAGATGTGATGCTGAAGATACCACAACTAGGCTGGGCTCAGTGGCTCATGTCTGTCATCCCAGCACTTTGGGAGGCTGAGGTGGGCAGAAGAGCTCAGCTTAGGAGTTTGAGACCAGCCTGGGCAACATGGAAAAACGCCATCTCTACCAAAAGAAAAAAGAAAAAGAAAAAGAAAAACAAAAACAAAAAGGAGAAATTAGCCAGGTGTAGCAGTACATGCCTGTAGTCCCCGCTACTCAGGAGGCTGAGGTGGGAGGATGGCTTGAGCAGGCTGTAGTAAGCTGAGATCACACCACTGCACTCCAGCAGCATGGGCAACAGAGCAAGACCCTGTTGGGGGGCAGGGACAGAAGCAACCACAACCCACAACAATTATCTCTGTTATGATATATTACAAGTACCTGGATTCAGAGAAATACTTCACTTCTACTTTTCACTGGTCATAGTAAAGTCATCCATATTAAAATGAGAGTCCTAGTAAGACTTAATACATAAAGAAAAACATACAGGCTCTCTTTTTTAAGAGTTCAGTAAAAGGAAATACATATAAACTGTAGTAATCATATGATGCAGAGGTTAAACTAAACTATAAGAGCACTGTTGTGGAAGATTAATACTGCAAGCAGTACCAACACTTAAGAGTAAACTTTGAATTGTATCTTGAAGAAAGAAAAAGAAGCTCCTCAAGGTGGAAATGGAAGACATGGGAAAGCATCAGGCAGAAAGGATTTTGAGCAAAAACATGGACACACAAAGAAAATGGTATGCTGAGGCAATTAGTTTTGTAACTTTCGGAGTGGCAAATGACACATGTAGATAAACCAGACCAAATAGTAAAGATTGCACCACTGTACTCCAGCCTGGGCAACAAGAGTAAAACTCCATCTCAAAAAAACAACCCTCTTCCCCCCACCCCCCAAAAAAGAGTCGAGTGGTGGAGGGGTATGTAAAGTGAGGTTCAAACTAGCTGAAGTAACTGACCACAACTGGAATAACCTAGTTCTGAATGTCAACCCTAAAAGGTTCTGACTAGAACTAGAATACAATTAGGCCAATTAGGATTGAGTTGGAAAATTAAGAAAAATGAAGAATGGCTGAAATAGTTGGTGATGATTAACCTAGAGTAATGGCTTTCATATTGTCATGTGCACAACTGTGGATGCTATAAGACCCTTTTATGGGGTCCATAAGGTCAAAGTTATTTTCAAAATAATAACAAAATATTATCGCCTTTTCCACTGGGTTGACGTTTGCACCAACGTCGCAAAAGCCATTGTGGTTTTGTAAAAGTACTGGCAACTTTTCAACACAAATCAAGGTAGAGGCTATGGAACTGCCCTAGAGTCACTACCTTCTTCAATGGCATTTCTGTATGCACTTGCAATAAAAGAAAAAAATAATTTCACTTTATAAGAATGTCTTTGATGAAGCAGTAAAAGTTAATTTTATTAAACCTGGTCCCCTAAGTACTACTGAAAGAACAGCAGTATTAAATCTAGCCTCTTGAATAATATTCTGTGTGATGAAATGGAAAGTATGCATAAATCAATTCTGATGCTTATGAAGTATAAAGGCTACATTAAGGAAGACACCTGTGTGAGTTATGAGCTGAACTAACTGCCTTTTCATTATCACCTTTGAGAACCTACAATCTACGATTATCGAGACTTGGGTATTTGGCAGACAATTTTTTGAAAAATGAATGAAGCCTATTATATAAAGAAAATGAATTTGTTGCTGATAAAAATCTGAGAAAATTAAATTTTGGAAAATGACTCCACTGTTGTGAACTTGCCAGTTTTCTAGTACTTTCATTTTACTGATGAGATCTAAGGTGAGATTACTAGATATAATTTTTTTATACTGTATAACAAATATAAGTCAGTATCTGGAAACTTGAATAATGCAATCAATCATTTTTCAAATCACCAATGCTTGCTTTCACAAAATCACACTGGGGGATAAAAGCTCCATTCAATATCCATGAACAACAGATTTTAATGTAACAGAATATATAAAGTACATCAATCTGGTTTCACATTCTATACTACAACTACCTTTACAGGAACAATCACTTGTCAAATTTGGCATCACATCAAAGAATAGTGATCACAATTATCTCAAAATCTATAAAAGTACCTTTCCCTTTTCTAACTACATTACTTGAAGCCAGATTTTCTAAATATACTAACCAAAACAGATTTGAGTAAGTTGAATGCAGAATCTTCGTGTCTTCAATTAAGCTAAACTTTAAAGAGTTCTGCAAAGTAAAACAAAGCCACTCTCCTCACCAGATTTTTTTCTGAGAAAGTTTTGTTTCAAAACTATGTTACCAAAAATGGGTTTGCTATTATTTCAACAGTTTTAATTTTTTATATGGTCAACATTGACAGATATGTCTCACATAAACAAAAGTTCTTGGGATTCTCACACATGACATTTTTTTTTTTTTTTTTTGGGATGGAGTTTCGCTCTTGTTACCCAGGCTGGAGTGCAATGGCGCGATCTCGGCTCACTGCAACCTCCGCCTCCTGGGTTCAGGCAATTCTCCTGCCTCAGCCTCCAGAGTAGCTGGGATTACAGGCACGCGCCACCATGCCCAGCTAATGTTTTGTATTTTTAGTAGAGACGGGGTTTCACCGTGTTGACCAGGATGGTCTCCATATCTTGACCTCATGATCCACCCGCCTCGGCCTCCCAAAGTGCTGGGATTACAGGCTTGAGCCACCGCACCCGGCAACATTTCTTAATATGAAACACTTCGTAAATTTGCATGTCACTCTTGCACAGTGGCTATACTAAACTGCTCTGTATCATTACCATTTTAGGACATGTGCAACTGAAGTGAGCGCAATTTTTTTTTATAAGCGTACAGAGGTTCCAAGATCAGTGAGTCTGAGAGCCACTGACATAGAAAGAACCCTACATATTATAGTGATATCGTATGAAAATAAGAACTGATTTAGTCTTACCCTAGGCAAACAGAAGAATGACAGTGTCAACTGCTTTTCAGTAATACAAAGAACAATCTCAAAAAGAACAGCAAGTTGTCATTTGCAAATACTCATGCATTAGATGGATAATCTGTGGGTTACACAGATAATCTTCCAATTTAAAAGTCCCAGGAGTCTAGTGAAAAAGTCACATGTAGAACTTAAGCCAAAGTTTCAATTCTAGTGTTTTTTCCATAGTATTAACTCATTTTGTTGCTCTAGTCCCAATGCTTTCCTATCACCTCTGAATTTTTTTGGGTTTTAAAGTATAAATTATTTATTTTGTCTGTACCTTTCTCACGCTATCCATGTATGAACACCTAGTCACACACTCTAACAACAGAGGTTACTAAAACACTTTAACCAGAGGCCAAGAGATTAACAGCAAATTTAAAATGATGTGACATATATAAATTACCTTTGTTAAGGTATAACTGACTAAAGAGCAATCTAACCTGTGTCTAGAAGACGAGGGAGTCCTCCTCCTCCTAGAACGTGATCTTGATCTTGAATGTCTTCTTTTTTCTTCTTTCTTATCTATATTTGAAACAAAAGGAACTTGCACTTAGAAATCATTTAAATAGGGGACAGATGCAGTGGGTCATGCCTGTAATTATAGTACTTTGGGAGGCTGAAGTGGGAGGAGCACCTGAATCCAGGAGTTCAAGACCAGCCTGAGCAATATAGTGAGACCCCCATCTCTACAAAAAATACAAAAATTAGCTGAGCATGGTGGTATGCCTGTGGTCCCAGCCAACGGGGGAGGCTGAGCTGGGAGAATTGCTTGAGCCTGGGAAATGGAGGGTGCAGTGAGCCGTGATTATACCACTGCACTCCAGCCTAAGCTGGACCCTCAAAAAAAAAAAAAATCATCAAATAGGAAAATAATTCCCATTCAGAAGTTATTCTAATAATTGTTCACCTTAGTCTTCAGCTTTTACATATAACCCCTGAAGGCTGCAAGTAACCATTTTATGATCATGATTTTGAAGCTTCCTGAAATACTACAAATTATAAATCATCTAGGCGTTTGATAGATCCAAATTAGACTTCTAGTTCTCAGCTAGCTAAAGGTTCCCTATTTTACTTGCCAGACCTAGAAGGCTGTGTTTTCTATAAAGCAATCTATTAAGAGGGCTAATTTCTCATTCTTTGGTTCTGATTTATTTTTGACAGGGTTTTAAATGAGGGTCCCCTTTCCTTTTCGTGGTTCTTCACAAACTCAATATTTGGCCCCCAAATCCAGGAGTCATGATTGACTCACTGATTTTAGTTCACTTCTGTGACAGCATCAGATTTTTAGTAACCTAGCTCACTTCCTATTATCTGCTCATCACTCCTCTTCCCTACCAATTTTCAACTGTGTAAGCATAGAAAGGAGATCTAGAACTCAACTGCTTTAATCCCCAGAATTTAAAAAACATGTAAGAAATTCCTTAACTGGGGACATAAGAGAAATAAAGCCATTGTATTCTACATTTATTGATTATCATCAAAGTGAGAATGCGTTCCTTTGACATTTAAGTCATTTCATTAATACAGTTCAATTTATTCCAACAGTCATTATCAGTAATAAATTCATAAAAATCTTGGATAAAACATCAATTCATAAAGAAATTACATTTAGTCATTTTAGTCATGTATTTTCAATAAAAACAGCAGTTAGAACATGGTGTGTCCTAACTTTCAAGTTACATAGATCCAACTGTGTTACCTAAAAGCTCCTAATGCTTGCCATGTGACTGTGGCCAATTACTTGACATTTTATTGGTTAAATAACGTAATATATATAAAGCATTTGGTATCAGTTTATCCACTATTACACTTCAAATTATTTTCCTAATACTAGGCATATTAAAAAACATTCCCATTAAATGAATTAAGACATTTATTTATAAGAAAGAAAATTCAAGGCCACAGATTTAAATATATATGGGCAGATAACACATCTGTTCATTTAGTCTCAAAAAGACAATCTGCAAAGAATAGGGCAACTGATTTTCTTTGAAAAAAAAAAAAATAAATAAATAACATTAAACAAAAGCATTTTCACTAGGTTCTCTTGATCAATGAAAAAATTTAAAATGAGGCTATCCCAACTTAAACATAAATAATAACAAAAACAAAATATTGCTGGTGGGCAGAGGGGTAAAAGTATTCTTTATGTTGTATATGAAAAGACAGTGTCAGAATGAATATGAAAATGTATCTATGTGACAGACCTGGAGCAACTACTATCTGCTGCTAAGGTTTCCACTACAGATGTAAGAAAAACATGTCCTTGTGCTTTCTGTCTGTCTAATTGTGGCAGCTGAGATTGAATAGAGGAATACAGAGTAAAAACGGGAAGAGAATACTTGAGACAGCTTGGTTACCAGGCTTGGAGTGCAGTGGCACAAGTGGCTCACTGCATCTGCGTCCTGGGCTCAAGCCATCTTCCCACCTCAGCCTCACTAGTTGTTGGGACTACTGGCATACACCCCTATGCCCACCTAATTTTTGTAGAGACCTGGTCTCGCTTATTTGTCCACGCTGGTCTCAACTCCTGAGCTCAAGATCTGCCCACCTCGGCCTCCTAAAGTGCAAGCCCAGCCTGGGAAGAGAAATAGTCCCTACCACCCTTACCTCATTGATTATATTTGTTAAAGGTTAGAGGCAAGCCAATGACTCTCGTCTGCTTGAACATGTGAATCCCGTGATTGAGCAATCTGGAGTTTGTCCTAGTGTCCAAAATCTGAGCCAGACACATCGTGTGAATATCCCCCAAACCCCCGTGATTTGAAATACATACTGGGAACTTCAAAAAAACAAAATATTATATCAAGTATTAGATAATCCTGACATTTTGGACTAGATTGCTGTAGAAGGCTGTCCTGTTTGTTGAAGGGTATCCAGCATCATGTTGATCCTTTGCCCTCTAGATGCAGTTGGTACTCCCGTGACCACCGGAATTGTCTCCAAATATGTCTGGGTGGCATTCCACTATACAGTCTTTTATCAGAATTTGGAAGATATTTTTTTTTTCAGGCAGAGTCTCTTTCTGTTGCCCCTGCTAGAGTGTTGTGGCATGATCTCAGCTAACTGCAAAACCTCTGCCTCCCAGGTTCAAGCGATTTTTCTGCCTCAGTCTCCAGAGTGGCTGGGGTCACAAGCACCTGCCACCATACCTGGATAATTTTTGTATTTTTAGTGGAGACGGGGTTTCACCATGTTGGCCTCGCTGGTCTTGAATTCCTGATCCACCTGCCTCAGCCTCCCAAAGTGCTGGATTACAGGCATGAGCCACTGTGCCTGGCACAGAATTTAGAACATTTTAAATGACTTAGGGTGTCACTCAACACATTTCCACACTATGTCATAACCATTTTTGCCAAGAATCACATAGTTTAATATTCAACAAAATTGCATAAACCTTGTTTACCTGGTTCTATAGCAGCAGAAATTAGGGACTGTGCTTCTCGTACTCTTTTCATAGCTTCCTCTATTTCTTTACTAGAGGTATCCGATTTCAGACTTGGAGAAACCAGACCAGCAGCTACATGATTCAACCTGAAACAGAATCAAGAATTCGGATCTGAAATATTTTAAAATGCACACCAGCATTTCAAATAAATAAATGTATAACATCATTTTAGTAAAATATTCCTTCAAAAAAAGGAGGGGAGGATTCCATGATAACTGTGGTAAACAATACACAGTATAGCACAGTTTTGAATATTTATAAATATTTCGGGTTTAATGACTACGAGTCATGTAGAATTACAAAAATATCTATTTTGCTGAACACCCATTAACTTTCCATAAACAGACTTTTTAGAAATGCTAGTACAGAAAATATGCTGATGCTAAAAACTTAATGAAACTTTTTTTCACATAATCTAAAATTTTTCTATGACATAGTAACTTTGTGGGGGAAGAACATTACCTTTTGCTTGGTAGGTGGGGAGGAACTGAGGCAGAGGCCAATGGCCCACCAAAATTACACATGAAATCTTGAGTGGAAAGGCTAAAGATGCCCCTTACAGGTTTACACATGTAAGAAAAAAATTATAGACACTAAATTTAGTATAGTAGTTATTTGTGGGCAGAACGGGAAATGTAATAAATGGGTATATAGGAAGTTTCAACTGTATTGGTATTATTTTATTTTTTAAGCTGGGTGGTGGGTACATGCTTGGTTTTTATTTTTAGATAATTTCTAAGAAAAAAGGCCACTAATTTCTGAATTCAAATGATTCTGTCCTTCATGCTTTCTCACTTATTGATAGTGGTTTTCACCAAGTTAAGGGGAAAAGGTATAAAGTTCAAATTTATTATGCCAAGAAATTACCAATGAAAAAAACTGAATTTCCAACATTATCAAGTAGGAAACAATTTCTGTGACAGCATGAAGAGCACCTATCAAAAGCAACCTAAAAGAAAATGTTGGCTATTAATTATATAATATGTAATACTGGCTCTAGGATAGTGATTCCCTCAGCTTTGCCTCTAACTACTATTATCCTCAGGGCTCAGCCTCTGATCTTCAAACAAAGTTATCCGCTTATTAGTTCTTTTCCTATCTTCCAGGTATAAGCCATTTACAATTACTATTCAAGACTCAAATGACACTAACACAAAGTATTTTATAGAGGAGCTTACTTCTGTATTTCTTTCTTTGTTTCAAGAAAACAATATGCATTGCTTGAGAATACAATTGTCTTTTGAGAAAAGGTAACTTGATAACTTTCGTGTAAGCTATCAAAACAAACAAGAAACCCAAAAAAACAAAAAAACTCCCTGTTCTCTAGACATTCAGATACCATATCCTCAATGGAAACAAAGAAAAAACCCTTACTTGGGATCAACAGTACTCAT